TAAAATACAGATTAAAGGAACTAATATAACACCTTTAACACAGTGTCTGGGCCCACAGGTGGGCCACCTCTGTCTGCCTCGCTGTCTATCTTTCTGTCTTTTTGTGAATACTTTGCATATTTTAAGAAAACCTTTTTCTCCTCCTTCAAATTCCACTGGAATCGCTCTGATGCTCAGGAAATTATGCAAGTATTTAGCCAAGAACTGAGGCAAAACAGCAGCAGTAGTGAGTGTAGACTTTCTCAGAGATTGCTGGGCTCAGAACGTGTGACAGTTGAAATGGAAATGTATTTAAAAGAAAAGAATTCATTTGCAGAAGTCACAGTTTTTCTTTCATGGAGAAGCAGCCTTTTGCATCCTTTTTTTTTTTTTACGACTGTAATCAAACTGAACATTTAATTCCTAATAATGCCACTAGACAGAAAGCATAAGGCCACAAAAATGCCATCTGCAGGGTCCAGTATCTGCCTGAAGCACAGTCCGAGTAAAGGCTGTTTGCATTCTAGTCCTCAGTGGTCCATTCTAGTCTGGTTGGTAACTGTGACTGTGGCTTGCTGCCTCTGTACATGGTTATATATAACCATATCCATGTACTTCTCGGTATTCTCTAGGGACATTGGGAATTGGGGGTTGTGGGGGTGCTAAAAAAGGGATGTCTTCTTGGTGGTGTTGTTAAGTGCAATTGAGTAACCTGCGACTCATAGTGACCCTATGTACCCTGAACCTTGCTGTGTCCTGAGCCAGCCTCACTGTCTCCCACACACCTACCCTCATTATTCTAGTTACTGTGTCAATCCATCTCACCCGGAATCTTCTTCTCCTGCACTGTCCTTCTACTCTTCCAAGCATGATGTCTTTCTCTAGAGACTGGTCCCTCCTGACCTCATGCCCAAAGTATGTGAAATGGAACTTCAAAATCCTTGTTTCCAAGGAGCAGCCTGGTTTCAGCCTCCCCAGGATAATATATTTGTTCTTTTGGCAGTCCATTGTATATGTTCAATATTCTTCTCCAGCACCCCAACTCAAAGATCTCAGTTCTTTTTCTGTTATTGTTGGTCATTATCCAGTTGTCTGATGATGCATGGCAAGTGATTGCAAAGACCATGGCCTGAATCAGGTGGACCTTAGTCTCCAGACTGACATTATTGCCCTTCAGCACTTTTGAGAGGTGTCTTACAGCAACTTTCCCCAGAGCAATTAGTCTTTTGATTTCTTGACTGCTTGTGCCAAGAGTGTTGATTGTGGAGCTGAGCAAGATGAAATTGTTAACAACCGTAATCTCTTCTCCATGAATCATGGTGCTGCCAGTTGGCCCAGGGGTGAGAATCTTTGTCTTCTTGATGCTGAGCTTCAATCCATATTTAAGACTGCAGTCCCTGGCCTTCTGCAAACAAATGCTTTAGGCCCTTCTCAGTTTGAGTGAGCGAGGTTGTGTCATCTGCATAACGCAGGTTGTTGAGGAGGAGTCTGTCTCCAGTCCTGATGCCACATTCCTCCTCATAAAGTCCAGTCTCCTGAATGATCTGTTTTGCATATAGATTGAAAAGGTATAGAGACAAGATGCATTCCTGATGCACTAATTTACTGATTCTGAGCTACACAGTATTTAATTTCTCTGTTCACTGCTTCCTGGTCTGAGTATAGGTTTCACATGAGCACAATCCACTGTTCTGGGATTATCATTGTCCTCAAGGTCAGCCACAACTTATTGTGATCCACACAGCCAAATGCTTTTGCATAGTCGATGTCAGATAGACATTACTCTGGTACTCTTTGCTCTCTGTTTAAAGGGCATGAAAGACACATTCATGATTATGACAGTGCTCGATTTTAGATATGCCTAGACGAGGCCTTGCAATTATCAAACTTCAAATCCATCCTTTACCTTAACTTTTGGGTCTAATTTTACTCTTATTTTTCTTCCTCAATTAAGTCATTGCTGCCAGTGTGCCCTTTGGGAGTGGAAAATCACTTTGCCATCTTCCTGCTTAAACAGCATTCAATGGCTTGCTATCAACGGCAAACTTTTTCCTCTGAAAAATCCACAAAAGTGCAAAAATTGGCATACATTCCAAGTTAAGAACATACTAAAAACTGTAAGATTCAGTCCAAAGTCTGTATTATTACAGCAGAGAAGGGTCTCAAATATCTTGCTTCCCCTTCCTCCTTTGTCACCATCAGCACCTATTGCTGCCATCATTTCTGCCTGGGTTATGGTCACTTTGAATTAACAGAGTAGTTATAAGCGTAGCCTCTGTCTGGGATAAGATTCTGGCTTATGACTAAGTCATTTTGATGCAAGCTATTTAACATGTTGCCGCAAATGACGGCAAAATATGTTTCTAAGCACAGTTGTCAATTTAAAAGTGTGCGGCAACATGTTAACATCTCTGTACGTCAGGCTGCTCAACTCTAAAATGACAATAATAATAATACCTACCTTATATGGGACTGTGAGGACCGACTGAGCTAATACATTTTAAAAAAACCCCAAACACGAAATTTTTAATCTCACTTGGTACACAGTGTGCATGCAACCAATATTAGCTAGCTCTGTTCACTTTCTTTTTTTTTTAATTATTAAATTTTATTAGTTTTAATGAACATTTACAGGGATTTTGGGTTTTCATTCCTTCATTGCCGCACCATTCTCTCCACCCTCCTCCCCAGTTTGTTCTTCTTCCCCCGCCATCCGAATGTCTGTTTTAATTGTCCTATTGCCACAGTGCTTGTCAAAGTCAGTTCTGATTAATCTCCTTTGTCAGTGTGTCCTTTGCCATTCCCTATCACTAGAGAGAGACTTCACCCTGATTCATAAGGAAAAGGGGATGGTGTATTCTCTTAGCGACTTCCTGCTGAAAAGGGACGCTGTGGGTTTCAGGGTGAATAGGTTTCATATATTACTCCCTCTATCTAGAAGACTTTTTCATTCCCACCCTCTGCTCCACTTTACCAACTCTTTCAGTTATCTTTCAACAACTCTTAACCTATCTTTCAAGGTTCTGCTCAGGCTTGACCCTATGAAGCCTTTCATAGTTCTCTAATAATGTCCCAGCCTTCTTGCATATAACTCTGTCAGTATGTCTACTGAGTTTGTAACTTCGCCATATGCACCTATTTGCACATATGCTCCATAAGGGCGGCAGCTGCTCCTCTCTTGTTTACATATCCCCTGACTTTTCACACAGTACCTGGCACATGGTAGGCTCTCCCTGAGCACTAACTGAATGAATGAATGAATGAGTGAGAGCATTTCCCACAGTGGAAAGAAAGGTGCTGGTGTCTCAAACATGAGACTGTGGGCCCTCCCACTACTCATTTTTGGTCTAGGGTCTGACATGTGCTCAAAATGCCTTCTGAATTGATCTGAAAGATGCTATGCATTGTAAACTTTGCTAAAATGACAGTCATCTTTTGAGATCCTGCTGACCTTAAAAGCATTGGTCAGTACTATATATTTATTAAAATTTTAAGTTCGAGCCCTCCTCAAAAGTTGCTTAGAAGTTTTAGGCTCAAACAAGAAGGAACTTGACAAACTCCAAGATTTTCTTACTAGCTTTGCTCTCTAGAAATTTCCAGCAACTGCCCCTGTCCAGCTACCCCGCTCACCCATTCTGACTCACCACATGATACAGACAACCACACAGACACCACTTCCCTTTGTCTTAGCTGATACACATTTATCAAGGGACACAAACTTCTCAGTAGGGCAGAAAACAGAAAAAAAACAGAAAGGAAAAACAGAAAGGAAAGATTTGTTTGGTTCAGTCAGTAACTTTAAATAAAACAAAACAAAACGCCAATGAGGCCAAATTGCTGGAATCCTGAAAACAGAAGATTAAAGAAATGAAGCTCTGTAGCAAACCAGAATTCTGTTCCTTCCAAGCTTATACGTTTACTGAAATTCTGCTCTATTGAAGGCCAACATCTGATGGGCATGAGATATCATTAGACAGCACAAATTAACTCCTTAAGTATTATTGCAACTCCGCATAAGTCCCGGGAGTACATACCTTAAGGAGCTATTAAGAAACAAAAACAGAAACAAAAACTAAATAGAACTCAACAGTCCTGATAGTTTAGAATGCAAATACAATTGTTCACCTGCGTCCTTCTGATTCTCTATAATGAAAGAGAGAGCAGAACAAGGAGAGAGGAGAGAAAGAAATAAGAACACATATGCAGGATTAATGAGCACGTGGACCAAAATGCCCCCCATTTACGTGTGTTACATGACACCAGAGGAAAAATAAAGGTTTCCCTTGGGTTCCCACCGCCCGGAGTGTGGGGACCAGCAAAAAAAGGCTCCTTTCCAGAGGTGGAAAAAGCTGTACAAATAGAAAATTAGTAAAATTAAGTTTTATGTGATATCAAGCTATGAAACACACATGAACTCTGCAAGTGACAATTAAGTCATATGTTCTAGCCAGTGCTTAGAGGACAAGGACAGGTCAAAAATCTCCAGAGAGAACAAGAAAAAGCGTCCCAGCTTGAGAGAGAAGAGACAGGAGGCATGTAAGACCTGGTTTTCATAGAGCATAGACCACCTTGTGTGATCACATATCCATAATATTTTTGACATCTTAAACATGGAAAAGTAGGCATGACTTTGCCCCAAATGTCCTTTATCCAACAGCTACGGCATTGTTTCCCCGGCCTAAGCTGCTACCTTACGATTGTGTACCAGTGACAAGCATTTTACAAACTGGGATTACACACAAGCAAAGTAAAAATGCATTCAGGTCACAGACAGAGAACGGAAAAACTTACAGACAAGTTTGAGTTCATCACAAACAAATGGCTTAATTGTCTAACCTGTTTTAGGATGCTAAAAAAGTGACTGGACTTCTCACACTGGGTTTCACAGACAGAACCAACAGACAAGCCAATGCTAAAAAACTTGAAGCAAGGAGAGTGAGTTGGTTTGGATCTGGATTTTCTTGGAGTAATGAGAACAGAAAGAGTGAGGGCAGCATGGTGAGGAGGCGGTAGGTACTCACGAATGGTTAAATCCATCACTTGGGAGGCCAAGCAGAAGACAGGATGCTCATACATTTCTCTCTTTTTCCCTATAAAAGAGGATTTGGGCATGCAAGAGGCTTAGGTCAGAGGTAAAGAGGTTAAAGGTCACAGGTCAGAGGAAAACGTTACATTAGCTCAAAGGAAAATAGCCACAGAGTATTTTGGGATTGACACAGGATAAAAGAAAAAGGAGTCTCAAACTTGGAGATCTACTGGATTAACCATTCAGCATGCCGTGAGCCACGAGAGAGATTGTGACCATGATTTTACACGTCTCTTTAGAATTGTTTGCAAGAATACAATGACCAAAAACATCATGAGTAAAGGGAAACAGAATTTTGTCAATTTAAGGCTCCAAGATACTAAGGATTTCAGACTTTAGTATCTAAGGCTCTTGAGGTATTTCTTCATAAACATAGTCTCCAGCAATATGACCACAACTTCTTTCCAAAATTCTCAGGTAACTAAGCTGTTAATGCTCACTGAAGGGACTCAAATGTAAACATGGAAGATTTCTTTTCTGCGGGTAGGATCGGGACCTTGTAAAAGAAAGCTGTCCGGCAGTAGTATCTTTAAAGCTGCAATGTCTCAGCCTCGAGTGGACTATGTTCATGAAAGAAAACCTGATACATGCAGCCACAGGATGTTGGGTTGTCTGAATTAACAATCCCAGCATGCTTTGAAATTGGTGTCACAGCCACTTTTGCAGAGGTAACGTCAAAACGTGGCTGAGCCAATCACGGACAAGGAAGGAGAGAAGCGGAAGAGAGCAGGTAGTGTGGAATGAGGTACTTCTCTGAAAAGAGAGTTGGAAAAAAAGGATTGGTTTCTTCAAAGAATCCCCAGACCTAAAAGTCACAGTGCAAAAGATAATTAACACAACCAAGAAGAATTGAGGCACAAAAGGAAATTACAGACTAGCTGGTCTACTTTGGAGATGAATGCATTTTTACTTACAGATCTTAAAGTTTGTTTTTGGATATATTTATCTGAAAGAAGAGAGCAGATCTTACTGAAAGACTAGTAGTAGCTACAAGACCTGTGAGGCAGCAGCCATGGCAACAGAATGTTCCTTGATCCCAGCCCATGTCTGGCCTTGCCTAGAGTTACAAGGTACCTGGGTGACTTGAACCAAATACAACCAATTTATTATGTCCTAGACAGGTGAGTGTTGGAACAATTATTTGCTAATATCACCCTTTCACAATCTCCTTGTTCCTCTATTTTTGTTACTCATTACCAAGTCAAGGGTTGATATAAACATCCTTTTAGTGCCCAATTCTTAAGTGTTTCTCCCTGGATGCATAACAATGAATTCATTACCACTGGTACACAATTTGCATTATCAGACAGACAAAATTGAGAGAGAGAGAGAGGACAATGTACAGGACACTGTGAATTTGGCATGATTGCAATCTAATTCTTCAGGGACAGAGGTTTGGAAAGATCAGTGATGGGGGTTTTGTTGGTTGGGTCTTTTGTTAAAAATAATTTTCTAGTCTTGTTCAGAGGCAGGCAATGTGCAGTTGCTGGTTTCAGTTGAGTGTGTGTTTCATGTACGAGAGAACATGAGATTCCAGAATGCGGACACACTGAGTTTGGCACACAGAACTTCCACATTTATACACTTACACCACTGGTCAAGTTGGGTGTGGTTTTCAAATCACCCTATAGCAGCCAATAAGGTAACAATGAAAAGTGATTAATACCTTTGTGAACATAGAGGTCCCAAAGAACCACATCTTCCAATGTAGAGTTTACTCAAAGGGCCTATTTATTTGGGTTACGTACTAATAGGTCACGAGGGAACATTTCCCTAGCACTTGAGAAGGCAATGGTAACCCCGCCCTAGGCCTAACATGGCAAGAACAAAAGAGATCTAAATTAATCCTTGACCTATCCAGAGATGGCTTGATACTGACGTGCCATCAGCTTTGAAATACTACCAAAAGTTAACACTATTGTTAAGAGATAACACAGTCCAGCAAAACCTCAATGCTGTTTTGTAAGATTCTTATTTTCCTTCCAGTGCTACCACTGGTGCACAATGAACTGTTTCATTTCTCTTGGTTTAGGAAAAAAGGTAGCAAGCTGATAGCTCTTTCACAGGAAAACACTGACCACCGACAAGAAACTTAGTGCCAACAGAGACACTCAGAAGAAGCTTAGTTAAGCTGAATCCACCCTAGAGCCCATATTCTTCCCTTAGAAAGAGTCTCCTGAGCCCTGTTCTTGAGCTCATTTATTTGGCTTCAACCGAGGAATCTTTCATATTTCAAGTGCTTTCCAGTTTTAGCTTAACATAGTCAGATGGACTGATTTCTGGCACCCATCAGAAAAGAGACTTCCCCAGGGAGGCATACTAAGACTTCAATTCAAACCTGGGGGCAGAAGGGGGGGGTCTTACCTTCGATTTTGGCATACTCTGAGAGTCGAGAATAGTTGACTAAAGCAGCTTGCTCTAGACATTTTCGGATGACTGTTTTTACCTCTTCCTGTGGAACTGGGGTAACAATATCTTTCATCAAAACCTTTTGGTGGGGGAAAAACCCAAAAGGATTATTGAGAAGATTGAAATACACATACGACTTATGTAAAAACGTCTTAAAAGGTTCAGGCTTAAAATGTATAGTACATGACTCCTTGCGACTTCATGCTAATTCAGAGCCATAATGAAGGAGGAAACACTAGAGTTGCCATACACGCTACCTACTGTCTATGGCCATACACAATAGACCTGACTATTTTGGAATCTGGGGATAAAATAGCTAGAATTTTGGCAATTTTATCGCTTTGTTTTTGCTATTGAATGAACTGTAAACAAATCATTAGGAAATTACAGATCGGGTCATTTAACCATAATATTTTAATGCAATTATGCCTAGTTTCTCTTCATATAATTGCACGAATATATATGATAGATTTTACTTTCATTCTTACCCTTTCCAAGAGTGAGAGAGTAGCTTTTAAAGCACCTTCAGGTCGACCAAACGGAAAGCAATATCTAGAAAATAAGAGACGATTCTTCAGGTTGCCCAAAGTGATTCCACTAAGCACGAGACATGCTGCAATTTGATTCCTATAGCAACTCGCTCTGGGGAATAGGAGATGCTTTTAATTTTGTCACGTTGTGTTATGTTAGTCTGAAATCGCTCCATGTATGTGTGCATATAATGTATGTGTGAATAATGTCTAAAGAGGGACTCTGCACATGCCTGCAGCAGTGATTACTTAAAGTGATGGCAAAGGCTGCTCAAAGGTCTATCGTGAAGGAGAACCATTCGTTAGCTCGAGCGTGACCTCCCTTCTTCTAGATACCAGCTCGAAAGCCTATTAATCAAAACCGGCTGAATATCAAACACACTTACTCAAATCCCTAAAGGAATAAACTAGGAAGTAGATAAGTTTGTTAAGAGCCAATTCTTGATTCTGCTGTCTCTTTTAATTACTACTGGGCCTTTTATAACTGGCAAAACATTTTCCTGGTGGCCGACTGGTAAGAAGCGACGCTGCAATCCCAAAGGCACTCTATTTGAATTCACCAAATTCTCCTGCTCTGCAGGGGAAGGGTGAGCACTCTCCTCCCATGTGATTAACAGCCTCACAAAACTCGCTTGAGGTTAAGCTATGCGTCCGTTCCTACTTGACAGCACACATAACAACAACAACAACAATGAAGTGTAGGATTGTAGAATATATTGTAACAAATGTATAATCAATTAAGATTTATTAAGGAAGATTTTGATGATGCAGGTCCCATTAAGAGCTTGATTGTGTCAGGCTGACGTGAGTTTCTCTGGGACACTTTTTTTCCATGGAACAGAGGAAACATGGGGGGCCACTTAAACTCAGTCTACCCTATGCATGCAGCCTGCTTCTTTTTTCTCAGCTGAGTGGCCTTGAGCAAGTTGCTTAACTTCTCTGATCTTTACTTTACTCCTTGTTTCAAATGAAACTACAAAGAGTTATCAAGAAAATGTTCAAAATGAGCCAATGCTTGCCCACTTTTTAGTCCTGTAAATGAATGAGCTAACCATGGAACTACTGTCACTATCGTAGGGTGCTCTACTGTGAAATTATCTGGGCAGCATCGTTGCTATTGTTGTGGGGCCAAAATAATTTTCATTTTTCGTGACGCTATACAACAGAGGCCTTGCAATTCCTATGCATGGCGATGGCACGCAAAAAAGGGCTGGGCAGTTTTCTAGGCTGTACTCCTTCCAGGAGCAGCTCGCCAGGCCTCTTCTCCTGTGGAAGACCTGGTGGGTTCCAAAGCCAGACCTCTGAGCGGGCAGATGAGCACCGGAGGGCTGCACCACCGCGGCTCCAGCGTAGCATGCGAAACGCCTGATCTGCTCCAAGGAAGAAGTGGGCTGCGTGTTGGAGGCACCAGCGCTGCAATCTGCTGGCTGTCTGGAGCCAAGGCTGATCCAAGACTCCGATCTCTACACAGCCAGCAGGCGCTATTTCTGAGAAGGAAGATAATGGAGAAGGTGGAGACTCTCCCAGGGGCATTACTGCCTGCCTTCCTTGCTCACCGTAATTTCATTCGGGAGTATTTTTAACTGTTTTATTTAGGGAGTGTGAGGAAGCCTCAAATCCAACCTTGTATAATTGACACGTGAGGTCAGCTTGCGTGAAGAAGGTTTGGGTGTTCGAGTGGCTATAGAATAAGCTAATTGCTGAAGTGTGTTTCCTTTTTCAAACACCTGGAACTGGCATTGGTTTAAAATCAAGCCATTTACTTCCCCCTCCTGGCTGCCAACCTCTTGATAAGCCCCTCACCCCAAATCCTTACCTAAAATGCGTAATCTGATTCTCCAACAGAACCCGGAGTCTCTCTTTGATTTCTTCAAAACGTTCTTTTTCTTCAACGGTAACAGTTCCAATTCCATCGGGCCTACAAGAAGACATGCCATGAAGTGACGGGCCCTCATATGCTGACACCCTCAAATCAAATCTCTTACCAGGAGGAAACTGTCTGTTTTAGGACTAACAATGATGATTGATGTGACCTTAAAAGGAGCCCCATAGTGTCGAGCTGGTTACTAAAGGGGCATTTTTTCCGGTTTGCTTGTTTTTGTATTCATGCTGTGGAGCCATTTGAGGACTGGGAGCTCATTTACCGTTGTTGTTGTTGTTGTTGTTATGTGCCATCACGTCACTTGTGACTCGTAGTGACCCTATGTACAACAGCCCTGAAACCTGCTCTGTCCTGTGGCAACTTTACTGTCTCTGACACACTGACCCTCAACACCATAGTCACTGTATCGGTGGTGACCATCAACTCATTGATAGTCACCCTCTATTTCTCCGTCCCTCCACCCTTCAAAGTATGACGTTCCTCTCCAAGGACTGAGACCACCTTGCAACATGCCCAACGTATGTCAGATGAAGCCTCAGAATCCATGCCTCCAAGGAGCAAGCTGGCTTCACCTTCTCTAGGACAAACCTGTTTGTTCTCCTGGAAATCCATGATATATTCAACACTCTTCTCCAGCACCACAGCTCAAAGGGCATAAATTCTCTTTCTATCATCCCTAGCCATTGTCCATACACTGGCAAAATGTATAAACTGGTGGCTTGTAGGTTAAAGCCATTGTCTATATCTGCTGTCATGTGGCTTGTAGCTTAAAAATCAAACCCACAAACACTGAGTTTATTCTCACTTACAGTGACCTTATAAAGCAGAGGAGAAATGCCCACTGGGTTTCCAAGGAAGCAAACTGCCTCATCTTCCTTCATCAGAGTGGATGGCAGGTTTGAACCCCTAACCAATAAGCAATCGTGCTACCAACACAAAGGTACGCATTTTTAATCCACCAGCTGCTCTGTGGGGGAAAGACAGTCTCTTCCCTTGCAATGTACAACCTCTGAAACCCACTAGAGGGGCAGCCACGAGTAGGTTCAGATTAGATGGTATACAACAACAACAACAACAACAACAGTAGCAGTACTTGAACCACTCCACAGGCCCTTACGTTTTAGGAATGACAACGTTGTAATAGAAATGATTTCTCCTAAAAATTCAGAAAAACTGACATTAATTGGCTGCTTCTCCCTTAGTTTGGGATGGCCCGCCTCTGTGATCTGTAACATCCTTCTCTTTCTTGTAAGAATCTTGGTTTGGGACTCCTGAACTATGTACACAAATGGCTAAGAAAATGAAGAGCCTTTTAAATGTGTGTTTTTCCCCCTCTGGGTTTAAGCATTCTTAAATGACTCAATTTTCAGACTGGAATTACAGATTTTCAGATTAATCTAAAACCCTATGTAGTGACTGAGGTGCTCTGGTGGCTTAGTGATAGGAATTGCATGCTAATGCAAAGGTACACAGTTCGAATCAACCAGGTGCTCTGTGGGAGAAAGACTGTCAGGATCTTTGCTTTAGATTTACTTCCTTGGAAAACTCTCTGGAGGGTCAGCTATGAGGCAGTTCTGACTCGATGGTACTCAGCAACAACAATGTACTATCTGAAGAACAACCCACATATGCCTTATAATCCTAGTGGACTCTTGCTCATTGTGATAAAAAGAATTGCCCTAGCAAAGATTTGTGAATTTCCGTTTAATTGTAGTCTTCACACACTTTGGAGTCACCACCAGCTTCACACACATTTCGACTATATATTGAAAGCCATTCAGGTTGGAAATACAAAGGGAGGCTGCATATTTATAGCTCAAATGAATCTGTGCCAAATGAGACACAGGCTAATCTGACCCATTCAAAGCCTCCAGCTTCCCAGATCCCGTAGTGACTTGTTTTGACTACTGGCTGAGGCAGTTTGCAGACTGGTGCGTCACTATGAAAGTTCTATTGGAACATTCTTCAGTTTGCAAATGCAAGTCATCTTGAGACCAAACAAATGGTCTTATTTATAGGCCTGCTCAAGGAGCCGGCAGAAGTTGGGAAAATCCTGTATACGAGACCAGTGTAACCGCACAAAAGACTTGGCAAATGACTGCAACATACCTCCTGTTAGAGGTTAATTGGTCACTTCTTTCTAAAGAAAAAAAAAATCAAAGTACCCTACTTGAAAATTGGGAGAGCTTTCCCCTCCCTCTGTTTTATAAAAAGCACCCACCAAAATCCTGTGCCGTCCACAGCCTCCACCATCCCTTGAATTTAAAGGAAGAAAGGAACAAAATGGGAACTGCAGAAGGGCTGTTGGAATCTAGGACTAGCGTCCTTCTTTTAATATTTTCTGGCAAAATATCAAATGCTAACTTATAAAGTTATTCTTTTTTATTTTTACATAAAATGTCCATGTACTTGTAGTTAAAACTCAGGACAAATTCACTGGCCTCTGTCAAATGCAGATGACATGCTCTGAGGTGAAGTCTCATGCTCCTCTTATAACCTACAACGTTAGTGCCTGTGGCTTTAGAATTTGGCTTACACCAAAGTAGTCTATCAACGAGCACCTTTACCCACGCACAGGCTTGGTGTGGAGGAAAGGGTGCAATTTTAATTACTCCTTATCAGAGAATTTACCCAGAGGAAAACGGCATAGCACTAAATAATGTTTACAGTTCAGGAAGGAGCTTCTAGATCACAAGAAAAAACATAGAGACATTTAACATGGAAAACCCAAAGTTATCTGTGGCTATTATGAGATCGTTTTCTGTGAATAATAACTCGAGTTAGCCAAGAAGGCTTCTCATAGTTCCATTAAGGGGCATTTGTTATTGTAGTGCAATGTCCAGCTGAAGTGGGTTCTCCAGAGGGTTTTTAGAGGCAGTAAAGCCCCATGGGAGGAGAATGACCAAGGCAGCTTTCAGGTTTGCTTTTGAGATGATAAAAAAGCCCCGCAATCCTTGTCCTTCATTTCAATCCTGACTCTAAGAAGTCTACAGGACAGTGTAACTGTCTCAGAGGTTACCAAAGCTGCACATCTCGACTGAAGCAAACTGCCTCATCTCTCTCTCACTGAGGCCTAGGGGGCTGTGGTTGCATACTTTAACCAAGGCAGCACCAGGTCGTCTTCAATGAGCATTCAGTGTGTGTGCGCCTGGTCTTGACATTCACATTTCAAGGCAAAGTGAACTGTTCTCGGGGGTAAATCTTGATTGGTTTTCCCCCTCTTTCTGTTCCAATGATTCACATTTGTGACTATCAAAGCTCTCAAATGGCCCTTTCCACTTCCCTGCTGACTACTTCTTGTATGGTTTTTCTGAAGACTGCTAATCTCACTATTTAAAAATAGCAAATAATGACAAAATTATTTTGGTAGTCTTCTTAAGCTTGCCCTTTGATCCCTCGGTCATGTGACTAATTAATGAATTTTAAAACGAATGTTACCAAGCAAGCTTAGTAAGCGTGTGGGGTTCTAGCAGAGGGTTTATCGACAAATTCAGACAATAAGACAAATTACGTGGGAGGTAAATGTATTTGCGATCAGCCAGAACTCCCCCGACGTCGTATTGGTAATAGGACACACTATTTCACAAAGTGGAAAAAAAAACAACAAAAACAAAAACAATTATTATTTGTCGAGGGTCACAGGTTGTAAATGGACCCATTAAAAAAAGCAGAAATGGCTTTTTAGGGCATTTGATGTTACTTGTTTTAGAAAATTCTGCCTTGTTGACTCTTACAATTTGTCAATGTTAATTGTGCAGATTTAGGCAGACCTCTATGGAGCCATGAGCTGAAAAAGCCTAGCATTTTTCACAGATTAGGAAAATACTTGGGTTGTTGAGAGGCTGAAAATTGCATGGGAGGTGACTGTCCATCTTCCTCTTGCATAAGCTGGTGTATTTGAACCACATGCTTTTGGGTTGGCAGCACAGCTCCTTACACTTACTAGGCCACCAGAGCTCCCCTTTTTAAGGTTGTTATGGTTATCGTAGGGAGCTCTGATGGCCTAGTGGTAAGAAGCTGTGCTGCATTCCTGAAGGCACACAGTTCAAATCCACCAGTTGCTCCTATGGAGAACAATGCACAATCTCTTCTCCTGTGTCGTTATCTCTGAAAACCCACTGGAGGGTCAGCTGTGAGTCGGTTCTGACTTGATGGCACACACCAGCACCACCACCATCACCATTATTATTATTGTTGGAACCATCCCAGAGCTGATAGCCTTCCAGCAGGTTTTCAGTGGCAATAAATCGCATGGGAAGAGATGGACCATCTTTTTCCTATGGAGCTGCTGGTGGATTTGAACTGTGTCCTTTTGGGTTGGCAACACAACTCCTGACCACTAAGCAACCAGAGCTCACTTTTGTTAGCTGAGTAGGTCTCACATGTAAATATGCCTCAAGATCATCTGGAGGGTTTGTGAGAACCCAAATTTCCAAGCTCATGTTCACAGTTTCCGATTCAGGAGGGGCTGGAGTGGGGTCTGGGAAGTCACATTTCTTTTTTTTTTTTTTTCTTTTCTTTTCTTTTTTTAAATTTTTATTTTTATTTTTTTTTTATTTTATTGGAAGTCACATTTCTAATCAGTTCTCTAGGAGCCCTAGTGTTGGAGGTTTGGGGACCATACTTTGAGACTCAATGCTTTAGGGCAAGAAACTATTTGGTGAGAGGATCTTACAGTGGTTTAGAGTATTACAGTGAGACTAAGGTGACGGAACGTGGAGAGCCAGAAATCCACTTACACTAAGTTCCAGTATTTTCCTGAGGTGGCCTTGGCACTGTTTCCAAGGCACCGTTCCAAGCAGGGCTGATTGCAAACTAAAGAGCAGACGTGTGCTACTGTCTTCAGAAGCCATGATTTTGTTTCTTTCTGGAGACATTTTGGGATGATCCTGTAATTCTCATACATTTGGCTTTATACCTTGTTCCTTTTAACACTTAAGGTGTTACAAAGAGTAAGAGGAGAAGAGAGGTGAAGCTGGGCTTAAAATGCTTAGCTAGAAAATTCTGGGCTGATTATGGATTTCAGAACATATGTC